AATAATTAAAGAGCCAAGAAACCACTCCTGGGCTCCTCACCTGCGTGTCACAAGGCAACGTGATCCATTTGACATTCATGTAGCTGTGCAGCAAGTGCAGCTTCGCTTCCAGCGACAACGTCACGCTGCAAGTTAAAACAAGGGTGAAGAGAAAAGGAGTTAAGAGTCAAGTTGCACGTTAATAACGGAGGGTCCCTCCTCCGCATCGAGTTATTCGCCCGTTGTCGGTACGACAGGTTTTGACGCAGCAGGTGTAACTGCGCCCAGGCAGCAGCGACGCAACAGGCGACGTCCTCGCAGCTCCCAAACCTTTCAGTTAAAACCCGAACGAATAATTAAGATTCCTGAATGTCCAAACCCAGCTCGATGCGAATTAAAATGGCCTCGATGACTAATCTCACTTCTAACACGAGGCAAATGGCAAAACAAGCAGATGTCACCGATCTAAACAGAGCTACTTTCAAAATGATTCTACCTCCCCACAAAAACAACTTCAGAAAAAAGACGTTTTCTCAAAAATTTCCACTTGTCAAAAAAAAAAAAAAAAAAAGAAATTTTTTCCACTAAAAACACAGCGACACCGACTTTTCTACCGGCTCCAAACCCTTCAAAAAATGAGACGCTGTGTTGGTAAAACCTGAATTTTTGTACTTTGGTCTCGGAGGGTCCCAACCCAAAGGCAGGTGACGGACAAGCCTTGTGTCCAGCCCTGCCCGCTGCACCCGCTGCCGCCATCTGGCCCCACGGGGGCCCCGCTGCCCCCAAACCCGACACGGTCACCCAGAGCCTGAGTCACAAACAGAGGGTGTCTGACGGCAGCCACCCGCCCTGCGCCGGGACCCACGCTCAGAGCTGTTTGTTCTTCTTTGGGTGGGGACAGAGGAACGGAAAAAGACACTTTTTTGGGGGGTGAATACGACAGCCGAGCCTCCATCGCTCCTCGCTCCGGAGCTACGCCTGGTCTGGAGCTCGAGGATGCGGAGCAACCACCTCTTTCCCCTGTGGTGAGAGATGCCACAGCCCTACCCAACACGTGCCGCAATCGGGGCGTCAGAAAAGAACGAAGCAAAAGAAAAAGCTGCTCCGTCCCCACCAAGTCGGTTCAGACCCCGAGTACAACTTCCCTTCGGACACAAGAAACCCCCGGCGGGGGACAGGGCGCCGCCCCCTCCGGCTGTGCCCGCCTCCAGCAGCTCACCGACCTGGCCAGCTTGACGTTGTCGCTGTCGTCTTTTCCCCACTGCCATTCCTTCCCGGGATCCACGGCAAAGTGCACGGGCAGCAGCTTGTGCTCCGAGTCCGTCAGGGGGATCACAGCTGGGCGAGGGACAGAAAGCGG